ATTTTAAGGTTACCAGATTTTTTTCAGTGAATCCGGGGACACTTTTGTATGGGGACTGATTTGTAAATATGGGGACTGTCCCAGGGAAATGGGGACGTCTGGTAACCTTACATTTGCATTCGGGGGGGGGGGAAGGCTGTGGTTGGTGCCAGCGAGGGATTTCTTCCTAAGGCAAATACCAGCCCTGATTTTTCAAAGAAGTAACATTCCTAGTCCCATTTGGGAATTCTCTCCTTGTTTGAAACACTGAAGGAATTTTGAAAGGTGAACAACCAGTGGCTTTGAAATGGGACATGGTCTTCAGAGCTTCGACCCACAACACAGTTTTGCCAAAAAGCAAAAGCTAATGTGGAGAGTTCTGCTTTGGCAAGACATCCTGCAGGGGGGTTGGAGCAGATGAATCTTGGGGTCCCTTCCAACTCTATGATTCTATGATCCTAGGAATTCTGGAGGAATCCAAAACAGTTTTGATAAGACTAGCAAAACATATACAGTACCTGGAGGTGGGGGTGAGCAGGCAAGGCGTTGTGACACTGTGCTGGTATAGTTGTTGACATGTCCCAGTCTAGTACAGTGGTACCTCAGGTTACAAACACCTTAGGTTACAAACACTTCAGGTTACAGACTCCACTAACCCGGAAGTAGTACCTCAGGTTGAGAACTTTACCTCAGGATGAAAACAGAAATTGCATGGCGGCAGCGGGAGGCCCCATTTAGCTAAAGTGGTACCTCAGGTTAAGAACGGTTTCAGGTTAAGAATGGACCTCCACAATGAAATAAGTTCGTAACCAGAGGTACCACAGTATAGAATATTATTTTATGATGAGCTCAAATGGGGCAAGCCAGAGAGCTTTAGGTAGAGAACTGGCAGCAAACATGGCAGCTGCAGAATGGCTGGAAAGTGGCAGTGGGAGGGCATAGTTTGGAAGGGTGGAAGGGTCCTGCTACTCTCCTCCCAGTTGTACCATCCCTGCAACTTCTCATCTGTTTTGTCTCACTGTGGGCCAGATGAAGCAATGCAAAAAATAAAAATAATAAAAACCCGGCATGCAATTATGGTGTTATTATGGAACACACTGTTCTGACACAGAAAGTGAAGAAAAACCCTGCTGCCCAGATGTTTGTGATAGCTGCAGGAGCGAAAGCTTAATATGGTTTTATGGTTCCTGGTGACATCTCAAAGCCAATGGAGTCTGGATCATACCCCACCTGCCAGTGTGGGGGATAAAGGAAATATTTTTGCCATTCAAATCTAGCCAAAGAAAAATGCCTGAGTTTTGCAGCCCCGGGGGAGCTGCATGAGTCTGCTGTTGCTTTTGGGGGGCCAACACTGATTCAATGTTGGTAATTCCCCATCGTAAATAAACAGATATTACAAAAGCATTGTTAAGTACAGTGGTACCTCGGGTTAAGTACTTAATTCGTGCCGGAGGTCCATTCTTAACCTGAAACTGTTCTTAACCTGAAGTACCACTTTAGCTAATGGGGCCTCCCGCTACCGCCCCGCGATTTCTGTTCCCGCTGTCGCCCCGCGATTTCTGTTCTCATCCTGAAGCAAAGTTCTTAACCTGAGGTACTATTTCTGGGTTAGCGGAGTCTGTAACCTGAAGCATATGTAACCTGAAGCGTATGTAACCCGAGCTACCGCTGTACTTTCTCATCACGAGAAAAGTCACTCTGTAAAAAGGTGCCCTCAGATTTCCTACTCCTTGAGGAAACTGAAAACCTGAAGTAGCATGCAAGTTTTCAAGGCCTCCTCTTTATGCTTTAGAAATAATGGTCATCCAATCCTGAAAGGTGCTTTTCACTTCTGTGCGTGGTCTTTCTTTTCCATTTGCTGGCAACGGAACCCTGAAGCTATAGGTCATTGCTACAACAGCTTCTGACGAATTTTCCCGGAGACTGTGTGAGTGTAACATAAAGAACAAGCACCCTTTTGTTCACCACAGCTCGCACCAACAATATGGTGTCTGTCATACAAACATTCTGAATTGCAGTGCACAATGTTCTTCTTTTTTTAAAAAAGTATACACATTCGAGTGCACATTCTCAAGTTGCCTTATAAAACAAACATGTGCTTGCCCCAGGCCTTGTTTATCCAATCAATTTGTTAGCTTTCATTTTATTAGCATTAACACCACACATTTCACTTTTCGCTGCTGTTGCCATTCCTTTCTCCAGCACCAGGGTATTGGTTAAGAAGAGCATGAGATGCAAAATGCTGACAGTTCACAGTTCGCATCGGCCATGCCCTCACTGTGTGGCCTTAGCAAAGTCACTGTTTTCTCAGCTTCAGCTCGGCCCCTGCCCAGCCATCAATCTGCAGTATCGATGGAACAGCAATGGCCTGTCACCAGGATTACTGAGATCACTTTTATGAAGTGCCTTATACACTTGAAATGCAAAGTGTTGTTTATTAATATTTTGCTCAACTCTTGTCAGTGTTTTCTATCTGTAGAAGGCTTTCAGGAAACATCAGCTCTATTGCAGAACAAGAGGAGGCGCATGCTTGTTCTCCGAAGTGCAACATCTTTTGTTGTATGCACGCACACACAAAATACTCTTACGCACATGTGTTTCCGACACATGCTAACCATGCACACACATCCCACCAATGCTCAAAGTGAGACAAGGTATCACCCCGCTTTTCTTTTTAAACAGGGAAACAATCAGATTGGGCCTAACCATCCTTTCCGTACTCACTTTGAGCACTGTATATCACTCTCAAACACATGCACACCATGTTTTATTATGTTTTTGTATATGCTGAAAGCCACTCAAGAGTGGCTGAGGCAACCCTGTCAAGTGGGCGAGGAACAAATAATAAAATTTATTATTATTATTATTAGTCAACATTCCAATAAATAATCCGTTGACTAACATTTCAATAGCGCTGGCTACTCTCTTCTCTATTGAACACCTTCCCCATCTGTTCCTAGCACTCATACTTAAAATGAAAACAAAGTTCTGAAGGATGTGAATTTGGAAACTTCGTATACATTTCATACCTCAGCAGGTTAGGGAGAGCTCATTTCAACATATTTAACAGGTCTAAGTGGAATTATCATCCCATTTGGAATCTTAATTGGATTGGAGCTGATATTATGTGTGTACTGTGGTTTTAAACTGCATTGTTGTAATTTTTAAAAATTGTTTTTATACATGTCACTGTTTTATATAGATGGATAATTACAAATAGAGTTAACAATAAAATTTAAGCTCAGAGATATTCATTACTCATTTAATCCTGCAACAAGTAATTACCTCAGGTCTTCTTCCTCCCTTTAATCAAACTTATATGCTTTTATGGCGTTAGCTGCCGAAATCACTAGGTGTCTTCTGCCAACCTACAGGATTTGCAGTTTGACTGGATACCTTACTCACTTCTTTAGAGCCATCATCAACATGAGCTAGCAGATTACAAGCACCATCCTCATAAAACCTGAACCAACCAAGCATGGGCAAAATATTCAAAAAAACGCACACAGATGCTGCAGCCCAGGCATCTTCTTCAATGAGTTTCCTTTGCAGCTTTTCAAGGAATGTGGTTTTGCATTACAAAGAAATCATACTCCCTTTAAAGTCTGAATAAAAACTACGAGAAATGCGGAAGAACTCTTGCACTGGAGAAGATGAGAGGGGAGGGTGAAGAAATGGGAAATCAGGGCAGGGAAGAAACGTAGTGAGGGCAGACATATTTATCGTTCAGGTGTTTTCCGCATTCACATATAAAGCGATGGTTTAACAACAATAGGGAGCCTCCTCTTCCACTTCCTTACATATGACAGTAGCCACTATTTCTCCCAGCCCAGTTCCTGTATCAGAAACAAGAAGGTAAAAGAGATGGGACCTAATGCATGATTCAAGCCTATCTTCTCAGAAGGGTCAAAAGAATGGTCCTGGGGCTGAAAGTCTATTTTGCCACATATATATGATCCCTTCATAGCACGCCACGCCCCATGTCTGCTATATAAGCAGTAAGTAAGTAAATCAGGGACACGGGTGGTGCTGGGTTAAACCACAGAGCCTAGGACTTGCCGATCAGAAGGTCGGCACTTCGAATCCCCGTGACGGGGTGAGCTCCCTGCTCCTGCCAACCTAGCAGTTCAAAAGCACGTCAAAGTGCAAGTAGATAAATAGGTACTGCTCTGGCGGGAAGGTAAATGGCATTTCCGTGAGCTGCTCTGGTTCGCCAGAAGTGGCTTAGTCATGCTGGCCACATGACCAGGAAGCTGTACGCCAACTCCCTCGGCCAATAAAGCGAGGAGCGCTCACAACATGAGCCTGACCAAACTGCGGGAGGCGGTGGAAGACAGGAGTGCCTGGCGTGCTCTGGTCCATGGGGTCACGAAGAGTCGGACACGACTAAACGACTAAACAAAGTAAATAAATAAATAAGAATGCATGCACACACACACACACACACACAGAGAGAGAGAGATGTGTGTGTGTATGTATATGTATATGTATATGTATATAAACAACAATAAATAACAACAAAGTTGTTGCCACCTCAGTGTAAAGGCTCCACAAACACATAAACCACAGAGAGCTGAGGATGGGGGAAAGTACTGAAATAGAGGTGCTGACACACAGGAAACCAAGCACATTTGGGGAGGATGAAGGGGCTTTCTGAAAGAAATAATGGCATATTTCACATTAAGATGCAAGCATTAAACATACTTTCTCTGAAAACAGATCTTTTATCGATTTTGATGGGTTGATTTTCAACTAAGCATGCACAGGATCGCAGCTATATTTTAAATTCTGGCTTCTGATTCAGTTATATTTTTTCACCTGAAAAATGCCTTTACTTTTCAGGTAAACACAGGGGTCCAGCCATGGGGTAGGGACAGATGGGGGTGAACTACTTGTTGTGGTATGGTTGGGGGGGCTCCTCACAAAGTTAGCCAGTGCAAATTTAAGCATCAGTGAGCCTTTTCCATCTTCTGGATTATTGACGCAACACCAAACGGACAGCACATCCTTTGTTCACTTACCTGAAATAGTCTTCCCAACTTTCTGCAGTTTCCCTGCTACTTTCTGTGCGTCCTTAATGCTGGTGTCTTTCTGGCTATACAGTAGCAATCGTTTGGCATCAGAGAACAGGCGGGAAACGCTAAGGAAGATAGGGTAATATAAGAAGGGGAAAGAAGGATAGTTCGCTTGACTCCAAATTCTGTTCTTTGTATTGCACATTCCTGTTTACAACTGACTCATGGATCTGTCTTGCAAGTCCCACTAAAACGAATGAGGGTTGGTGAACAGCACCACCATGTTTACGAGCGCTCATTCCATCAGGATTGTGTCCCGTGTTAATTAGTGGCTGGATGTGCCATTTGCATTTTCTCCCTTCGCCAATGAAATCTTTTTTTGACCAGCTGCTCATATAAATGCTTTATTCTTTTCCATCAAAAACTCCAGCTGTGGCAACATGCTTCCCATTTCCTCTTGGGATCAGGGCCTCAGAAGGTGTTGCAACTTTGACACGTGATTAGAGAAGTTGGTCACAGTTCCAGAGCAAAGGGCAGCTGGTCATTCGCTCCTCAGATGCAATAAGCATGCTAAGACAGAGCAGAGTTATCTGATCCTAATAGGATCAAGAGAGAAATAGGACCATCCTCATTTGTACTAGTCAAAAATGTACTTGAATAATTTAGGATTGCCAAGAAGGCCTTCATTAGTGGATTTGATATCCCGCTTTATCACTACCCGAAGGAGTCTCAAAGCAGCTAACATTCTCCTTTTCCTTCCTCCCCCACAACAAACACTCTGTGAGGTGAGTGGGGCTGAGGGACTTCAAAGAAGTGTGACTAGCCCAAGGTCACCCAGCAGCTGCATGTGGGGGAACAGAGATGCGAACCCGGTTCCCCAGATTACGAGACTACTGCTCTTAACCACTACACCACACTGGCTCTCACACAAGGACCCCAGACTCTCAGCTTTCATTTTAAAAATGTACATCTCTAGCCGTCGTAGAAAGAAAGTTATGAAGCAAACTGTGCAGGTATCCTTCCAAGTGATTTCTGCGTGCTGAGCAAGCCTAGCTGCTCCTCCATGTCGGTGATTTTATCTAATGAGTGAAGTCAGAATTATAGGAGCCGCTAAGGTTTCCGTGTGCTGCTCTGGTTCGCCAGAAGCGGCTTAGTCATGCTGGCCACATGACCCGGAAGCTGTACGCCGGCTCCCTCGGCCAGTAAAGCGAGATGAGCACCGCAACCCCAGAGTCGGCCACGACTGGTCAGGGGTCCCTTTACCTTAAAGTCCTAATGAGCTGCAGTTTCGCCCTCCCCTTTAATCCACTTTTCCTACTGCCTTCCTACCTGCAAAGTTTTGCCCTGGATGAAACTTTTCCCGATTCACTGCCCTGTATGTTCCACCCCAACATTCGCCCTGCCAAGCACAGCCACTATCTCAGAACCAAGTGTACTTTTCTACAAAGGCTTCTTGCAGGGCTGCCAAAAAAAAAAAAAAAAAAGAACAGCCAGCACCTTTTATAATGCAGACCAGTGCAAGGCCGTTTTGCCTCCGTTCCGTTCTTCATACTTGTCCCTTCACTACTCCCTGGGCCAGAGATTCATAAAGGAAGATATGGTACTCACATAGATTTGTTAAAATTTCCAACAATGCCCGGTGACTCTCCAGGAGTTGGGTAGCGGAAGCAGGGATTGTTGGCATTGCAAATAATCCCTTGGACCCATGGCAACGTTCCAGCTGAAGGCATGGCCTTGTTTGGAAAGTGACCTGAAACACAAGGACAAAACTTAGGAATGTACATATTAGGCCATCAAGTTGTTTTCTCTCCTTTTGAAAAACCTTTGTCCTCAGTGTGTCTCCACCCCTCAAAAAAATATTATTCCGTGTCCACCATGAGAGAAGATGGTGTCCACCATGAGAGAAACCTATCACAGAGGTTTCTAATGTATGCAAAGAGTTTACAGCTAGAAAACAACAACAGGAAAATACCCAGAGAACTTTCAAAAACCTTCAGAAATTTTTTGAACAGCAATTACAGTGGACACACAAAATGTGCTTGCATACCTTGGAGAATGATCTCTTTCAATTTTCCTTAAAACTACTCACTCCCAGATAGGTGTGTCTAGAATTGATGCCCGAAAAAATTCCCGTTGTTGAATCACTTTAAAAATCGTTAACCGAGCCATATTTAAAATATCCAGTGGTTTAAAAAGCTACGCACCTACAGCTCGGCTGCTGTCGCAATATTATGCGGTAAGCTATCCAAAGCTCATGTTGAAAAAACACCAAAGAACGTTGGAACATTAGATAACAGTTCTGTCCCTTAAATTCCTAAGCAGACCTAAAGAGGTCACAGTCACCTGCAATCAAGGTTTCTCTGAACAGCCCCAAATCTTGGTATAGGGGGAGGAAGGTACACCTGCGTGTGTTCATGACCTGGCAAAATGTTTGATGTAACTGAACTGCACTTAATGCATAAAATGAAGAGTATCTTCCTTTCTCAGAAGGCAAATAGTAATATCAATATTGTTAAAACAACTGGTATTTGTTGACCCATTGGCACAGGAAGAAACATGGCAGGTTGTTAATCGCCCGGAAAGCCACTGTTATATGGCAGTTTAGTTGCATTTATCCTTGGTGTCTTTCTACCAATTTGACTGAGTATCCTCTGCAAGTTATCAAGCTTAGCTTTGTACTACCATTTTTGTTTGCTTGTTTTTGCCATAATGCACAGCAAAGGTGTTTCTCTTCCATGCTACCTTAGGTCCATCTATGCTATAGATGCCAAACATGCAGGCAGGAGAAGGGAGAGGATGAAGGCAATCCTCTCCCTTCTTTCTTTCTTTCTTTCTTTCTTTCTTTCTTTCTTTCCTTCCTTCCTTCCTTCCTTCCTTCCTTCCTTCCTTCCTTCCTTCCTTCTCATCATCACCAAATATAAAGCAAAGCATATGCATGTTCCATACTTACATTCATGTTGTTCATAGGGTGGAAACGATAGCCGTACAGAGATCAATATAAAGAAGATAAGTAAAGGCCAAATGATTTCAATCAGCAGCTGGAACTAGAAGAGAGAAGAGGAAAGAAGAAACAAAATATTAATCATCCACAGTTGGTATCAATAGGAAACTGAGGACAATGTGGTTAAGTCCTTCACAAGCAGTATTAGAGTTGTGTCTTTATGTCAGCGTAATAACACTTCTGAAGAAGATACCGCATTTCAGTGTTTCATGAAAACTTCGTCAATGGGCCACTGATGCACGGGCTGCTTTTTGGAATTCACGTATCTCATGAAAACACAGGATAAAAATTACATAGTGTTTTCTCTGATCATATCCACAAGCTTTTCAACCCACCACAGCATATGTGGTTATTTTCTCACAAAAATACAGTGGCCCCAGAAAAAAAATAAATCCATAAACCTCCAGGGAAATACTTCATAGTGTTGTGGGATTGGTGGCTTGGACAAGGGAGGTTCAATGGAACTATCAGATAGGGCTGGAAGCTGACTTAATAATCAAAGGAAAGTTGTCAAAAAAATCTCCTTTGCTGGGAAAACTGCAGGTAAATGGGCCAACAATGGCTAGGAAATTGTTGGGGACCAAGGATGGTGTAATCTGTGAAGCAAACGATGGGGTAAACTGTAATCTAAGTTGGAATGTGTTTTTGGGGTGCTGTCTCCCTGGAGCAGAAATCTGACGCAGGAGCTGTGGACTTTGGGTGCCTGTTGGAGAATTGAAGGTGTGACTCCTCCTTTGGTCAATGTGTATATATGTAAATAGGCACAGAAATCACAAAATTCTAAGAGGCCTCCAATGAACCAAACCTGAGTAAGGTCACTGCAGTACTGGAACTTCGCACCACTTGGAAAACAGTTGGGAGAGTGTAACAATATACTTATCCACACAGTCACTGCCAACTGTCATATATATAATGTTTTACATGTCAGTGCAGGAGTGCTGTTTAGAGCATTCATAGCGGCATCAACATGTATCTAAAATTAGGCAACTGACATTTAACATAGGGCCAAGGCATGAAGAAGGACTGGGGGTGTTACTGTAACGCAGCTAAATCTAAACTGTAAATAAATCCTACACCTCCCCCCTAACACGGTAGGACTAACAGAGCAATTTCCACAGCATGGCCTGAAGTCACAAGGTACAGAAAATTTTGCTGAAGCTAAGCAAGTCTGGTCTGGCCAGCATTTGGATGGGAGGCTCTATGACGGGGTGAGCGGGCAGCAAAAGGCAGAGCTCAGGCGCCTTTAATAGATGTGTCATGTCATAGCACGCTAGACCTCTCTTTTTGTTACAGTCAAACCTCGGCTCCCGAACTCCTCCGTTCGGGAACGTTTCAGCTCCCGAACGCTGAAAACCTGAAAGCAAATGCTCCATTTTTTCAACGTTTTTTGGAAGCCAAGTGTCCAATGAGGCTTCCACTTGAGGGCAGGAAGCTCCTGCAACCAATCAGAAGCCATGCGTTGGTTGCCAACATTTCGGAAGCTGAATGGGCTTCTGGAACGGATTACAGTCGACAACCAAGGTTTGACTATATTTCACTTCTGGGGATCTTTTATTTCCCTTTTCTAAACCTTTTCTTATCTGAAAATCAGATACCCAAATACTCAGTGGGATCTATCTATCTATCTATCTATCATCTATCTATCTATCTATCTATCTATCATCTATCTATCTATCCATCTATCATCTATCTATCTAACCTAGCAGTTCTCACACCTAGGTCTCCATGGGAAAAAGGGGAGATATAATGATAACAAATGCATAAATAATAAAATGACTTTAATGTGGTAGCATTCCTTGCTCCCACAGCAGTGAACGTTACAGTGCTTAAATATAATGCAGATTCATGCTGTCTGTTAAAAAAAAATCATAGCCAAAGCTAATGGTGGATGGACCTATCTTGGTCCAATACAAAATTAGTCTGGAAAAGCTAGACTAGTGGCTCAGAGGCCTGGTGGATGTTCAGAGGTTAATCCATATGCTTCCCAGATTAAAACTGTAAGGTTGGGACGTTTGTGTGGCTGATGTTGGGTCCTCCTCACTACCACCCTCAAAGAATCACCCACGTGGTCAGTCAGGGAAAGAGGGATCATTCAAGTGGTTGGGGGGGGCAACCTGCACTAGGAGAGGTGTGGTCAAGCTGGGAGGCAATAATAATAATAATAATAATAATAATAATAATAATAATAATAGCAGCAGCATTTGCAAACCGCTTAATATTTATTTATATATCTAAGCAGTGTACAACAGCAAAACAAAAAACAGTATCGTTAAAATAAGAACGCAACATAAAACAAGTAGAATGGTAAGATTCGCAAAACGTTCGCAAAGAACGTTCGCAAACTGAAACACTCGCTCCCAGGCTTGCAACATTCAGGAGCTGATTCATTTGACAACTAGGCATATAAAAACTGAAGGCTGGCGAATTCAAATTCGATATCCTTTTGGACCATTTTAGGTGGCCCAAAATTGGCCCATCTCCCCCAAATCTGGAATCTGAACCTGGAGAGTCTGTCTTAAATCCCTTGAAGTATAATGCAACGTGTAATGCAACGTGTCTGCGTGAGGAGCTTGGAGAGCGGCAAGCTGCTGGGAGCCCTTTACCTACCACTGGGGGTGCAGGAAAGCGTGGGCTGCCTGGAATTTGCTGAAAGGCTTGTGTGAGGCGTCAGCGAAAGGCCAGAGCCCTGGAGGAAGCCCTGGAGAGGCAGAAGGATGCCCAGAAAGCCCAAAGGGGGCTGGGACAGTGTTGGGAAGCTGTTGTAATGCTTCTACACGTCTGTGTGATGGACTGAGTCCTGGAAAGGCTGGACTGGCAGGCCCTGTTCCCGATGTATTGGCCTCTAGGAGCGCTAGTGAGCAGATCGGGGGGGCGAAGAGTTCCAAAGGCAAGTTTAAAGGACTTTCCCTTTGTGCTGAAGCGGAGAGCAGCTTCAGGGGGGGCGAGGCTGGTAGGAGGCGCCGTTCCAGAAGGAGGAGGGCCAAGCCAGCTGGGAGCCTCGGGCAGTGTTTTTCCACTGGAGTTCGTCACACGGCGCAACATCTGAGTGGCAAGTGCCCCCACCGGTGCAGAGAGCCGAGGCAGGATGTTGTGAAGGACATTTCTCATGGGAACCAGTCGGGTTTCCATGGCAACAGGTTTGCCAAGGGAAGGCGCAAGGCATTGGGGAAGGAATTGATCTCACAAGGTATTACTGAAGATGTTGCACAGGTATCACGCAGGGACACAAGGGGGGGTGTTATAGTTCAGAATTTATCTGGTTAAATTCCCTGGTGTGTGTCACCTGCTGACGTCAGCTTACAGCTGGGCGGAGACAGAAGCTTTAGAAGCTGGGCGGGACTATTCCCTGTTTGTGTCAGTCCCACTCTGTCGTTACGCCCTCCAACTGAGGCCCCAGTGACGCATCAACGCATGCTTTGAGCATATTCAGCTCTTGTTGCAGCCTCTCACAGCAGCTTCTTTGCCTCTTAGACGCAGGTCTGGCATGGCTGCAAATAGTCCTGGAAATTCCTGAGAAATGTTGGAATAAAAGCTGTAAATAGACGGACCTGTCTATGTGTGTTTGTCTGGAAGCTGAACCAAGCAACGTGACAGTTCTACACCGCTGTGCGGAAACTCTGCTGAGCCGTGACGGAGAGGCGCAGCGGAAGCGTGCTGGGCCCATAACCTGTGTCTTTTCCCCACGGAACACAGAGTGGGACTGACACAAACAGGGAATAGTCCCGCCCAGCTTCTAAAGCTTCTGTCTCCGCCCAGCTGTAAGCTGACGTCAGCAGGTGACACACACCAGGGAATTTAACCAGATAAATTCTGAACTATAACATATGTCACATGCAGACAACCTTTTCCATGGAGTGTGCCACAAGGCAAGTTAAAGGAAACACGTTTTTTCGAGTTTGCAGTGGTACCTTGGTTCTTGAATTGCCTCCGATTGGCTGCAGGAGCTTCCTGCACTCAATCAGAAGCTGCTGAAGTTGTGTTGGACGTTTGGCTTCCAAAAAACGTTCGCAAACTGGAACACTCACTCCCAGGCTTGCAACATTCAGGAGCTGATTCATTTGACAACCAAGGTACCACTGTACTCTAAATCTAGTGCCATCCAACTGCTGGTTTGGGAAGTGGTATACACACAATAACCACAGATGTATATCAATCCTGTTGTTCCTTATGAAATACTCTGTTTTGCTGCGTCCCCCCCCCACAAAAAAACAGATTCTATTGGAATTGAGAGAAAAAATTGCTGTTCTTTTCAGAAAATTAACCAGAGTCTTTAAAAGGGGGGGAAATGAAAACATCTAGCCAGGCTATGTATCTGCTGCGAAAGTGCAGTTCAATGGCTCAGAGTGTGCATACCATCTCAGTAAGTAATCTTGAGCAATCATCTTTTATTTCAGCTCCTTATACTACTTGTATCTACATTAAGGAGGCAATAATCCTGGCCTCCCTTACAAGGATTCTACAAACATTAATTCATATTTGCAATATATTTAAATTAATATTTTCTATATAAGTGCTAAAATTCTAATTCTTCTGCAACTAACGATGTTGCAATTTGGGACAGCTCACTTTATACACACCTAAACAGATGTGTGCTTCAACCTTACAGGGGGAGTGGGTGGGTTTCTTTTCCTTTTTGGTGAAAGATTCTTTTCCCACAAGAGCTCGTCCCGTAAATAGCTTGGGCTGCATTTCCCTTCTCCGCCAGTTTTCCAAGCAGCAGCAGCAACGGCGGCAGCTGAAATAAGCATTGCGAAAGCCGGGTACAAAGCTCAGCTTGACGTGTGCAGAGAAAGAGTTACATTTGTGCTGCTGGAAGGCAGCCAGGACAAAGTATATCCTGGCTGAACCCTGTGGGAGGAAAAAGCAACTTCAGGGGCGAGAGCTGAGCAAATACACACGCACTCGCCTCCTTGTTCAGCATCTCTTCCTCTTCATTTATGCATTTGAAAGCAGCCAGCTATCTACGAAGCTGATGCAAACCGTGCTAGATGTAGCAAGGGGCAGGATATTGACTGCAATCCACCAGGGGACTGCTGATATAGGCGTCCCCTCACTTGCACGGGGGGGGTTACGTTCTAGGCCCTGCACGCATAAGCAAAAACCGTTAAGTGGGGAGCACCCTCTAAACACTCTTTAAACACCCTCTCTGCTGCTCTCTCTCCAATCCACACCAAAAAACACTGTGTCCAAAAATATCCACAACTGGAATTGAAGCTCTGGGACTGGATGGAGGCTGAAGGATGTGCAGAAAAGCAGTTCCGGCTGCTGTGCTACCACGTGCATCAGCTGTTAGGCGGGGAGGCTGAGCTGCCTAAACAAAGCCCCGCTGTGTCTTCGGTCTCTTCAAAGCTTCTTCCGCCCTCGCTGAAGTCCTCTTTGGGTTCCAGGGAGGGTCTCCTCATGAGCCATGGGGACTCACTAGCTCTCTCCCGCCATTTCAAGGTTCGAACCAAATTATTTATTTCCTGGTGCTTCGTGCACGAGTCAATTGTGCGTGAGTTAGGGCTGCCATACGTCCAGAATTTCCCAGACATAGCCGGGATTCGTCTGCCAAAAACGGCGTTTGGGTGGAATTTTTGGAAATTAGTCAAAGTACCTGGATTTGCTAAAAAAAAAAGCTAAAAAACTTGATGGGGGGGAGATGTTGCAAAAAACCAACAACTCAACTTTTTGAAATATGACAACCCTAGTATAAGTAGCGGTACACCTGTACAATTCTTTTTTAGTTGGCCAAAGCTCTAGCCACCCCTGTTAATCCCCAACCACCAGGAAAATTATCAAAGATGGTAGTCTCACTCACAGACAGTGTCAGTGCCATCTCTGTATGGGCATGATGCATGTGCAAGCGTTGGTGACCTCACTATTCATAAGCAGGTGTGGTGAGCCTTTGGCCCTCCAGATGTTGCTGAACTACAACTCCCATCAGCCTCAGCAAGCAGAGCCAACAGCCAGGGATGGTGGGAGCTATTATTCAGCCACATCTGAAGGGCCAAAGGCTCCCAACACCTGGTGTACATTATATACTGGTAGAGTTCCTCCATCTTTGGGATGAGTTCCAAACAGGTAGCTGTGTAGGGTTTAAAAGTCCAGTCCCTGTCCTTGCAATTTGAACACGGTATACAATCAGGAATAGCTCAAGCAAGCAAGCAATAGCCAAGACCAGTGGCACCTTAAAATCTCACAAATGTGTTGTGGCAGAAACTCTGGTATGCTAATGCCCACATTGTTTGAGGCATGAAGTGGCATTCAGAGCTGCATAGGCCCCCTGAGCACAGAGAGAAGAAAAAGCTTATAAAATAAACTCATTCTCAACAGCAGCAACTGTTGATGACACTATCTTTCCTCCATTGATAAATTTAACATATTGTAAACTCCTTGCGTAAGCTCTCATTGCTCTTTTGGTTCTATGGCAACGCTACCCCACTGGGTACCTCTGCTGAGTTCTTGTAAGAATTAAGGAATTATCAAGTATTGTCCATGAGAGGGATCAGCATTGGGTGTCCTGCTAACCTGCAGGGTGGGAAAGCTCAGGTGATCACAGCATGTGCTCCTTAATCTACAGTTTCTTCAGCCTGAGGACACACATGCTTTGATGCAAAGGTATCCTGAGGTGTATATGTGTATGTATTAGCTTCCAAATGCTGAGGCCAAATCAGCAGCCAGAGAAACAGGGATTCCCCCAGGTTTACCTAGATTGATCCACTAATGGGAGGAGTCAACTGATGTTACACAATATATGTACCTCTTCATACAATGTCTTTGCTGGGTGTGCACCTATTTTTTTTAATGAAGATATCTCTCTACGAAGTCTTTGGTGGCAGCATTGTAAATAAAAGCAGCATAAGCCTGCCCTGTTCTTTGCTTAGGCACCAACTAACAGAGGAGAGGCAGCATTTTTCATGGAATCCCCCACCCTCCCATGTCCAAAAGAAATTGCTCCATATTCTCTGCAACAATGTGGGAGGTGGTAGCTATACGGAGGAAGGATCACCAAACATTACCTCCTACTTCTTCTGTTAACGAGAACCTCCAAGAGATCAAAAAGCCTTTCCATGACTTCTTCAGGGCATCGTAAGATCCAACTAACCAATTACTTATCTTCAGATCAATAGAACATCAAAGCCACTATACAAATCCTGCAGCTGTTTTTATCGAAAAGACTACCCAGATCAATGGGAGATTTGCACATGTGAGTAACCACTCTGTGTTGACTGTTTGGCACAATAAAATAAAAAATGGTTTCATAAGAAGGCCCTGTATTGGGAACCAAGCAACCAGTACCCTTACCTACTTTGTGAAAACCAAGCAATAGTGTGATCTTACCGTTTGCCTTCTCCTATAGGTGAAATTTTTCCATAGCAGCAAACCAAGCTGTGTCCAGAACACCATCTTCTTCCCTCTGTTCACACTGGCACCACCACAGATGGCAACAGCACACAGCAGAGATACTGTGGCTGGTCATCAACTAGAAACAACAAAAGGAGTGGATTAGCAGGATTTGTTAATTCTTAAAGCAAAACAAACCACTTCCTTGTTTATGTTGCTTTGTTCGTACCCAATATAGGGCTGTGTAGCCCAATAACACCCACACAGCCACAGCAGCAATATTAAGGAAGATGAAGCAGGGGATAGATTACAGAGCTGAAATCAGATCTTGAATTCTAAGCCAAGTGTTTCCAAACTTTACTTTTTGTCAATAATCTGCCCTTAAGTAATGCAAGTACATTCCCCTATCCACCACACACTGTAGTTCAAGGCCAGACGTAACTATTCCACAGAGGCACCTGTAATTCTGTACAGTGGTACCTCTGGTTACGTACTTAATTTATTCCAGAGGTCTGTTCTTAACCTGAAACTGTTCTTAACCAGAAGCACCACTTTAGCTAATGGGGCTTTCTACTGCTGCCGCGCCGCCAGAGCATGATTTCTGTTCTCATCCTGAAGCAAAGTTCTTAACCTGAGGTATTATTTCTGAGTTAGCGGAGTCTGTAACCTGAAGCATATGTAACCTGAAGTGTATGTAACCCGAGGTACCACTGTATTTCTAATTTCTATTCAAATTGCACACAGAGAGCAAAACAAGGTGTGATGGAGGAGATTCATAAATGGAATAGTTCCTGCTATTTTGGGGAAATAGCAAAGGTCTTAAAAATGGTGACAGGGAGAATCATTTGATGGGCCGGATGGGGTCACTTTCTTCCACAGTTGTTTCCACAACTGAAACACACATAGAGAGAGTAGTACTCTTTGCCTCTGGAGCAAAACATGCGGTTATCATGTAGGCACCTGTTATAAGAACTTTATAAAATAAATGTATAAACCACATGTCTGAAACCTCACAGAAAAAAGTCCTGAAACCATTTTGTCTCTCCCAAATGACCTCAAACATTTCTCTGCAATGGAGCCTCCCCATTGTCTCTTTGCTCACAAATCCTGAATCAAGGGCACATTGAAGATATGAATAGGGTGAGCCTGTGACCTGGATTTGGGAACTGAGTAGTTATCATAACAAACAAGTGGCCAGGATGCCCAGGTAATCCAGTCAGGTAACCTGGCAGACAGGATAAAAACAACACACTCAGATTTCTGTTGTAGACCACCCCTTCTCTGATGCACATATGATGTATTGTGGGGTGGTCTTGGGCTACACCCCTTCTGTGATGTATGCATGATGTATGGAGGGGCAGTCTTGGGCTCCAGGGTGGGCAGTTCAAATGTCTTAAGGGCTTGCACACCTTTGTCCTGGGTCCCTCCTGCTTCCTGTTTGTGGCAGTGAGCACCCTGTTGCAACAGTTAATAAAGTTCAGGCTTATAGCTGCTTTGCTTTTGTATATCCTGGTCTGGTCTCTGTTCATTTCCCGACCGGTTAGAGCCTTAAAAGGTACGCTCTCGTCAAAGGTCCAGTCATCCTTAAGAAGCTGAACCCCTTGAAGGGACCCCTCAATATTCTTGTTTCACACATGTATGTTTTGCTCAGCAGGGCAAATACCAGCTTGAAGTGGGTAGGGCAATTCGCAGTGTAGGAGAAAGGGTAGACCTTCTCTGCTCCAAAGCAATAGTCCCAATCTGATTCAGGGGCCCATGGCTTCTTTTACCTTGGGAGAGGAGGGAAGCACGAAATCTGATGATGGAAACCCACAGCAGCAGAATTGTTTGTTAAAACTACTGCAGCGTCTGCAGACCATTCATGGTCTGCAATGCACTCCCTGCAACATGATGCATTACTGTACACCCGCTTGTATCCCCTTCTTGGTAAAGGGTGGTTTAGAAATTTAATAGATAAATATATAATATAAGAAAATGCAGAGAGCTCTTTCCAGAGCGAAACAGTGACTAATTCAAGATTAGAACCCAGCTCTCAATCACTCTTCTCCCCAACCCCCAGATTGGATTACTGAAAAATGCCTCAGCAGCATGGAAAAGACACTGGCAGATAAGCCCGTCCCTGCTATGTGACAATGCCTCCTGTTTATCCTCCCCCCCCCATTTTCAATACAGCTGCACCAAAGGGATGAAGAGGTGGAGCTTTGATCCACGAACCTTTCAAGCAACTTGCCCTGTGGCAATTGTCAGGGAGGAAAGTGTGACAGTGATACACCGATTCTCAGGAAGGAACTGCTTTTAATCCACGAAGCAGAAAGTGCAAAATTCTAAGCACAAATTAATTATTATTATTATTATTATTATTATTATTACCCCAGCCACTCTGGGTGGCTTCCAACAAAACACTAAAATACAATAGCCTATTAAACATTAAAAGCTTCCCTAAACAGGGCTGCCTTTAGATGTCTTCTAAAAGTTTGGTAGTTATTTTTCTCTTTGACATCTGGTGGGACGGCGTTCCACAGGGCAGGTGCCACTACCGAGAAGGCCCTCTGCCTGGTTCCCTGTAACTTGGCAGCGAGGGAACCGCCAGAAGGCCCTCGGCGCTGGACCTCAGTGTCCATGCCTTTATTTTAGGAAGGTTGGCATGGCCAGATGTCATTTCTGAGCACCCCAAAGGCAGCCCAGGACAGTATGCTTCTGCAGCTCCAAAAAACCCCTAAAAGTCTTCCTTTACAGCCTCCTATTGTTTGCATCAGTCTCGACAGTGCGCCTCTGGGAGCGAAGTCAAACCGCTGTGTTATCAGCACCAAAGTGACCTCCCCGGGGTGCAAGCCTGGGCAGTTTATATGGAGGTCCTGGGCTGCCCAGATCACAAAACCCTCTTACTCAGCCTAGCTTGGTCCAACGGAAAGCACAGCAATATGCTTGGCACCAGTTTGGCTGCAGGAGTTTCCGGAAGGTGTACAAGGCACCATCCAACTGTCTTAGGGACTCCACTCCAGACTTGTGTAGAATTTACTCCTTAGTCTTTTCTTCTCCTGGAGATATCCCACAAGGCAGTGGCATTTTAAGATCAGAGTTTTCCTTCTCATAAATGGGCTACCTTCCCAGGTGGACAAGCCCCCATCTGCCCCTCACTTCCCTCTACAGCAGCAGTTCTCAACCTGTGGGTCCCTGGATGTTGTTGGACTACAACTCCCATCATCCCTGAACTCTGGCCTTGTTAGCTAGGGGTGATGGGAGTTGTAGTTCAACATCATCTGGGGACCCACAGGTTGAGAAAGGCTGCTCTACAGCATGTGCAGAAACCGCCTTCTTGACCGTTGGACCCACTATTGCTCTCCTCCGCTCAATCTGCCGGAGCCTGTCTTTGCATGAAGGGCAAGTTCCTAACTCACCAAGGGTTTGAGGCCCATTGGCTATCTTCACCTGGTTTAGCCAGTCAGTCAAAGCCATTCCTGGGGTTTGGCTGCTGTTTTATGCTGACAACTTCTAGGAGTCACGAGATGAATGCAGGGTGGGGACCAAAGGTGGGCAAACTACCCCAGAAGGAGCACAACATGTCTCCCACCAGAGGTACTACCCCTCCTCTAACACCCCATACAATAACCTAAAATCAGTCTCTGCACCTTGGCAGGGTACACCCATTACCCATGACCATATTTTCACAGCTGTATAGTTTAAGGGGTGTTGGAAATTAAAACTGTGCAGTTGCATTTCATTCTCAACTCATCCTTCACCACAGCTGTACTGAACAAACATTAAACAGCCTTAGGGAAGAGGGAAGCTTTGGCAAACAATACAGTTGTTTGCTCTCTGACTAGGAGAAAAAATGGTATGGCGGGGGGGGGGGAGAACCTTTCCCCTAAAAAGTAACTATTTAGTCAGTGACTGAGCAATGTTATAAAACCGGAGAGCGGACAGCAAAGGCTCTTGGCAGTAGGGCTTAACTATACTAGGAAACATACCACTCTCTTCATTTTATTATTATTATTTATTCATTCAATTTATATCCTGCCCTTCTTCCTGGAGGCGCCCAGGACAATACAAACATAAGACAATTAAAAAACAAAAGAGTTAAAACATTCTAAAACCAATTACAATTGAAAACACCCCAAAAGCAGTTTCAATTAAAAACACAGTTGTGAATTATGCTTTAAAAAACAAAGAAATGCCATATTTTTTGCTCTATAAGACTCACTTTTTCCCTCCTAAAAAGTAAGGGGAAATGTGTGTGCGGCTTATGGAGCGAATGCAGGCTGCGCAGCTATCCCAGAAGCCAGAACAGCAAGAGGGATCGCTGCTTTCACTGCGCAGCGATCCCTCTTGCTGTTCTGGCTTCTGAGTTTCAGAATATTTTTCTTCTTCTCCTCCTCCTCCAAAAACTAGATGCGTCTTGTGGTCTGGTGCGTCTTATAGAGCAAAAAATATGGCAATTCTGAGAAACCAGGCTCTATTTTTTAATTATTATTAAAAATGAAGAACGGAAGGAAGGATATAGCCCTCATGGCTCCTGAGATTCCCAGTTTGCTCTATCTGTGTAATAAGACCTCTACTCTGAAGTTTCAACACTGGACTCCACAGAGCAGGATGTGATTTTCTGGCAGGTTTGTAATCTAGCTAACATGGTCTGGAGGTGCTTATAGTATGACCCAGGAACTCCCAATAAGACTGCACAAATTTCAGCACCAGCATAGAATCACAGACTTGTAGACTTGGAAGCAGATGACCATGAGGGTCATCTAGTCCAACCCCCTGCAATGCAGGAATATTTTGCCCAACGTTGGGATCGAACCCATGACCCTGAAGTATATGCTCTACCAACTGAGCTACTCCACAATTCCACGGATCAGCACCAAACAGAGTTAGTGCCCCAGATGGTGAACACCTCTACATAATCACAGCATAGCACAGTTACACCACCACCAGTAGACCAGCATACCTCACCCCAGGGGACGGCATAAATGAGGGGTTGGATTGGATAATCGCCAACCATTATGACCAGGGATGGTAGCAGTCATAATCATGACAACTGCAGGACCACAGCTTATCTATCCCTGGTGTAGACATTGCTGAATGTACGAACATCAGGTATTGCAGTCCAGTATGAAGCGGGTGGCGCTGTGGGTTAAACCACAG